TTAAATGAGAAAAGCCCTTATATATAGATTATAAGCATATATGAAAGTATAGACTATAACATGCAGTAGGGAAAAGACTCAGATCCGATATTCAGCTTCAGTAAACTGGCATATGCAAAACACTCCTGAGTATACTCATACAGTCACTTAATCATCAAAGGGTTGTCATGTTTAAGTTATATTTTAAAAATTAAATTATATTTAAAAAGTTATATTTTAAACATGAATCTGCATAATAACACACTCTCTTCTGTATCAGCATGTAGATTTCTTTCTTTGGCAAAGCTGTTAAGTTCTTAGAATTTTTTCTTCAGTCCAACTCAAGCTTCAGCAAATGATATGTCACCCCTCATTCTGCATACCTGAAGGACTGTCTCGGCAGATTTTAACAGTGCATCAACCACAAAAAAAATGCTGCTTGAAAAACTGAATTATTGCAGCTGCACACCCACATTCTTTTGTCTTGTCTTTGTATGACCCAAGTTAAATGAGTCTGCATTAAAAAAATAATTAAGAGCTGCAAACCACAGCCAATCACATCCAGTGAGAACAGACTCTCTGAATCCCCAAAGGACTCTTCATGACACAGAAGTCTCTGAATCTGTCTCAGTACTACATGCTTTCGACATTAAGAATTTACATAGGTTCAGAGAGCAACAAGGTTGCAGAAGATAATTCAGTTGAGGATTATTGGATAAATAACACTGCCTCGAGTTTAGGAAGTCCCTGAAACACAAGTGGAAGCAGTAGCATCACAATGCAGTAGCTTCATCAGATGACTATTACTCACCACTGCCAGACCCCAGGTAATTGTCTGGATGGACACTTGGCCTGACGTGATGTGGCCACTCTCATACTACGCTTTAAGGCCTCGTTTACCTGTCTCTCACCTTCACTTTTCCAAAATCGCCTCTCCTCCTCTAACGACCAAATCCCCCTCAAACTCAGCCACTGCAACTGCTCACTGTGATCAGCAACACATTTACACATTTACCTGATCACTTACATTAACGTGCCACAGTGATACACAGCAGCTAAAATACAGTACAGTTTTCATTTTGCTGTACGAATTGTGGCAATGTAGCAGAAAGGCACAGCATATACCAGGTATTGCATGAGGGCACATGAAAAAGGTCTTGCGAAAAGGGTTTCCTACTGATGAACTAAAGAAGACTAACTTGACTGTATAGCGGAATGCCAACATAATTCATGGCTCTAAAGTATCTCAGAAATCACAGAACTACATGAGTTGAGAACCCAGTGAAAAAGGAACAGTGACTTAACTTACGCAACATGATACGTTTGTAGAATTTTGTAAAAGAAAAAACATGCTATAATTTTCCTTTTGTAAAAAACACAAACAGCATATCTGGGATATTTCAAAACAGCAAAATCTCAATCTTGAAACAGCAAAACAAAGCCCTGTAATCCACCATTAGGTATGCATTCTCCTGAGCTGGTGGCTACACTCATATTTTGGCTTACCTACAGTGAATTCCATTCTAGGAAACTTCAAGAACTCTGCGCCCTACTGCCAAGTAGTGCAACATCTGGCCAGGTATAGCTAGTCATCTTGTATGACTGTACTACTCTTTTTCACATGTTCTTCTTAATCCCACGTGCCAAAAAGATAGAAGAGCTACTAGCACATAATTTCTGTTAACCTACTTCACAGCAAAGCATTAAAATCAGTTATAAGTGTAAAGTATGCGTTCTTTTGTGCCTTCAGTATTTTCTTCCCATATTGCCAAATACATAACTTTTCTCCCTCACATCTTTGCTCAACTTTTCTACTCCTTTTCCACTTTCTTTCTCAGTATTACTATTCCACAAAAATATTTCTGTGGATTTCTACACCCACATCTACAAATAATTCATTCCCATTTGTCTTGCCAAAAATACCTCCATTAAACCAATAGTGAAATCCCTTTAGGTACAAATAAGCTGAGAACGTATCAAGTCTAATCACAATTTGAATCCAAACAAGGAACTGCAATTTACAACACAGACTTTAATCATGTTTTGGTGCATACCATAGGTGATTCTACACAACAGCCTTACTAAGGCAAAGCATGAATCTTACTGATATACTCCAGATTATATTCCTATGATTTAATTTTTTAATATACAGAAAGCAAGATTTACTGGGTAGTAAAGATTTACTGGGTGACAATTTTCCCAATAATTTCTGTCTGAAGCTTTTTAAATCTCTGGTGCATGCACACAGAAGGTAAAGAACAGTTCATCGCAAGCACTATGGGACAAGTTTCCTTGAAGTCACGCATTATGTGGCCCATCAGCCAAGGAGCTCCTTCAGCTGCAGGGCGGAGGTAGCAGAGGTGTGCCCTTACAGCTGTGGAGGCTGCAGCATCAGCCTCCAGCAGACAGTGGGAACCAGGTTCCCTCTCCTCCCCGGCTCCCCCCAGTATAAGGCAGAATCGAGAGAAGACACATCTCCAATCTTAGCACAGAGCAGTCAGAGCCTTCCCACAGCTAAAGAAGCCAACAGCTCCATTCTATTCAACAGGTAAGGTGAACAAAACTGAGTCACTGCTTATTTTCTGCAAACAAGACTTCTACAGCAAGAATCTGGACTTGCCTCAAAACATACAAAACCAGTATGCTAAAACTGTTTAATAAAACTTCTGAAACACACTGGACATACAATAAAGGAAGTTAATGACTGTGCTTTGTATTTAAAGCACACTTAAAGTTATCCATAATTAAATAACATTTCTAGTCCCAACTGTCCAAGGCATGCAGACATTTCTTCACAGATTTGGTAAGAATGTTGTTTTGAAGTATTTAAATAAGACTGAAAAGCACCTATCCCACTGCCCCCCGTCAGGAAATAAACCTCCTAATTCCTTTGAAATACAAGCTACTCAAATATGTATCAACTCAAATTTAAAAAAAAAAAAAAAAAAAAAAAAAAGAAAAGTTGCAAAAAAACCAAAGTAGTCTTGTGTTCTGTGTTCTACCTATTTTTATACTCATGCCTTAAAGGAAAAACAACCTTTTTTTGGTCCCTTGGTTTGTAAACTTGGAAGAAAAGTGAACTGTACCACCAAAAGGTAACTTCCATTCACAGGACCTGTAACAGCTAGGAAACCTTCAGAAGATTTCATAGGCCCTTCTGAAAGCAATGGTTTTTACACACAAGGGCCAACATCTTCTACTAGTTAGTGTCTCTAACAACTAGCAACAAGATGAACTGGCTAAAAGCTTCCAGCCAATCCTTAATACCCCTTTCCCCACAAAATACTGTGGGGACAATGTGTTAATATTTGTCATTAAAAAAACATGCAGTGTTCTACTAGAAAATATATATCCCCATCTCAAAACAGCACATACCACAGCTCCTGAGAACAGACTAATGCCACCAAAAATTTGAAGTACTACTTTATCCTCCTTATTACATTGTCTTTGTCGAGCTACAGCTGCTTTTCTGCTTTTAGAACTACTCAGAAATAAAAAATCTCTTCCCATTCAAGGAAACCATGTCACTAAATACGCATTTAAATATAACCAAGGGTATTATCTTCAGCACACAGCTCTCATCTAAGCTGTGTGATGTAGCAAAAATGCAGTGCATTAATCGCTGCACACCCTCCTTTCTTAGAGGGGCTGCGATGATGTACAGCTCTCACTCTTTCTTACGTGCCTCTGGGGCAGCGAAGCAGCTGCTGGTTATCAGTCACAAGCACGGCACTCCACGACAGCCCAAGCACTCGGCGATGCCTGTGACAAGCCCCGGCGCAGTCCCGCCGCGGTGCGGACCCCAATCCGGTCGCTCACGGCCGCGATCCCGGCGCGTCCGGCCGGGCGCGCCAACAAAGCGGCGGCCCCTGAGCGCGGCCCCGGCGCCGCACCTGCCGCGGAGCGGCCGCGCGGAGCGGCGCGAGGCCCACACCTGCCGGGCACGCGCGGCCCCGGGCGGCTCCTCAGGGCGGCCGCGCCCGCCGCCGGCTGCCGCCCGGCCCTGCCCGCCCCGCCGCCGGCTGCGGCTGCCGCCCCCGCTCCCTCCTTCCCTCCCCTCCCGCCGGCCCTGCGAACAAAAGAGAGGCCAGCGCGGCGGCTCGGCCCGCGCCCCGCCGGTCCGGCACGGCCCGGCCGCGGCCAGGCCGGGCGCGCTCTCACCTGGGCCCGGCGCGGCGGCGCGCTCGGGGCGGCGGCGGCGCGCTCAGGGCGGCGGCATAGCGCTCCCCGCCCCGGACACGGCGGGAGGCCGCCGGCTGCTCGCCAACTGCGCCGCTCCCCGCCTCGGCTGCCGCCCTTACGCAATTGGCAGCGGCCGCGAGCCCCGCGGGGCGACCCGGATCGCGGGCCCCGAGCGGAGGCGGCCGAGCCCCGCCGCCGCTGCCCCGCCTCCCGCGCTCCCGCCGCCCCCGCGCCGGGGGAGGAGCGGGGCCGCCCGCCCGCCCCTCGCCCAGCCCGGCCCGGCCCGGCCGCACCTCCGCTCCGCGCTGCCCGGGAGCCGCGCTGCCCGGCCCGGGCCTGGCGTTTACTTCCCTGAGGGACTGCATCCCTCGGGCCCTCCCGCTGCTGACGGGACACCCAGGCGCCGCCTCCCGCGGCACCCGCGCCTGGGGGGCAAGAGGAAGCAGGGGGTACTTTGTATCCGTGCCCGGCTACGGCTTTCCTGCGGGCAGAGTGGAAAAGAGCTGATTTGCAGCTCAAATACTGGACATACCGTTAGATGCCGATGTCTGTGTTAAAGTAATAGTAACAAAGTAGTTGTTGTACTAGTACTAATAATGATAATAATACTTATAATAGTAACAATAATAATTCCACAGTCATAAACGCGCAGGTGCTGCCTGGGCAGTGTGGAATGTGCGCGAGGTACGAGAGCCAGGCGGCAGCGAGGGAAGAGACAGAATGCTAACTCCGGAGAGGCAGCGGGGAGGGATGGAGGGACGCCCGGAGCGCAGGAGAGTCAACAGTAGCAGAGACACGCGGCGGCTGTCGGTACGTGCAGGCTGAAAAAAGTTACTTACCGCGGTTGTAGTCCGGGCAGTCTGACCAGGGGAAAGAGCCGACTGGAGAATCTGATTCCACTTTCTGATTTAGTTGCTGTTTGTTTTGTCTTGTTTGAATTTTGTTTCGGGTTCTAATGTTTTTTAAGTAAAATCAAACTAAAGCCAAAAATGTTTTGAATTTCAGGGAACCCCTGCCTGAAGCTGTTACACAGCAAAGAGCATCAATTGGCATAGGCTATAAGAGGGACTGTCAAGCCTCAGAGCACCTCAGGCTGTCAGCTTTGATGCAAATCTGACAAGGGGCTTCTCTTAAGTTTGGGACCTCCCACCGTTTCACGCAGCAAGGTTGGGCCACACTCATTACTAATGAGCCAGTAGGAAAAAAAAAAAAAAAAAAAAAAAATAGCATGCCCTGATCGGATCCAAGATGGTTCAATGAAATGCTTCGGGAAGCACAAGCATTTCCCAACATAGTTATTTCCTTGGGAATATTTCAAACAGATGAAGTCAAAGTGATAACTCACTTGTATGTCTATGAACACAGCCCTACTAACTTTGCCTCTAGCGATTTCCTCTTTGTTTAAAGCATAGTAAGCATAGCCTGTGTGGTGTGCTTATAGCACACGGAGACATCTAGCGCCTAAATATTAGACTGCAAATCAGCTTCCGAAATCTTGGAGATCACAGTCAGATCCATTGCTTGCAATGTTCCACCCCAGTACTGCAGGGTGCGGAGCAGTTTTACTGCAAACCATCGCACCACTGAATAGCAGCTGCCCGTGGAAGGCAGCACAGGCAGGGAGCCCAGTGGAATGAGCAGCTGCACTAGCTCAGGAGGGGACTGTGACTGCAGCTCTGCTGCACAGCTTGAGCTTCAGGCCTGAAAGGTATAGCAGTAATTGACTCAAGTCAGAGATTTGCCTGTATAGGCACAAAACAGGTTGAGACAGTTCCTAACTTGCCTTTGTCACTAAACCACAGAGAGGAAAGCCTGTAGGTATATGAATAAGACAATCTCATCTTGGTTTTACAGTGTGTCTCTACTTCTATTCTCTCTTTGTTAGGCCAGGAGCACAATCATTCTAACACGTGTAATTGTAAAACTTTGCCTCTTTTTAACAAACATATACAAACTGAATACTTACGTTTGCCAATTACTTTGGCTGAAATTAAACTGAAGGTAAGCACTGCTTATCTACTAGAAAGCTATTAGTCCAAGAACAGAAAGTATTTACTTTTTTTATATACTTGTCTAAAGAAAGAGTAAATACAGACTGCTGACCAACATTCTCAGCCAGAAGCCTGAGAAAAAGGTCATTTCAGTGATACTCAAGTGCAGATGTTTTTGCCAGTACTACTGTATGGGGGCATAAAGTAAAACATTTCTACGTACTTAAATAGTCTGAAAGGAAATATATTGCATTAGGTATTTGTGTAGGAGAAAAAAAAAAAAAGTAGGAGTGCACATGTATGTATATTTTAGACTTCCCATATAATACATTATTTTCAGTCTCAGGCAGGTCACAAACACCTTTGAGCTATAAAAGCACTAGATCATAAGACCATAGAAAAATTAAGGCTTGAAAAGACCTTTAAGATCATTAAGTCCAGCTGTCAACCCAGCACCCACAAGCATGTTCACCATTAAACCATGTCCTCAAGCACCATATCCACAGGTTTTTTTTAACACTTCCAGGGATAGTGACTGCAACAAGCTTTACAAACCTTTCTGTCAAAAAAGAAAATCCAAAAACTGAATCTAAAACTCCTCTGGTGCAAATGAAGCTATTTCCTCTCATCCTGCCACTTGTTACCCAGGAGAAAAGACTGACACTCATCTCACTATGACCTCCTTTCAGGTTGCTGTAGATCTCTTACAGAATGGAATCGTCATCAAACAAAAATAATGTTTTTAAATAATGGATACATTTGAATAAAACAATTCCCAAATGCCGTAAGTATGCAAAATGCTGGACTTTGAAATTTCTTGAGTATTTGAAATCTCTCTATCAAACTCAAATGATGCACTAAAGCCTTACTGCATCTCCATCCAGTATCAACATGCTGCTTTGGGTTTCAGCAGACAAAATGTTGGTAAAGTGTATAAACCAAAGTTTAAAAATTACAAAAGATGGACTTGAAAGAGATAATTGATTAGACTATGGTCTAATGATTTTAAAATAAGCAAAGAAGGAAGCAGCTTTTGTCCTTCTGAATAAAAAGAGGTACTAAGAGAGAGGAGGGAGCAAGTTAGGAAGCAACAGATGCGAGTAAGTAAGTATAGGCAGTTACCAGTTAAAATTATGTCCTATTGTCTCAATTCCAATGCAGATCCTTAGAAAATATTGTAGTTGGTCTATTTAGATAAGAGAGCAAATGTACCTATTTCTTGCCCTATTTAAGCCTTTCTTGCATAAATCCCAGGTACTCTGTGGTAATACCTTTTCCATACAGTAGCCATGTTTTAAATTATCATAAAAACCCTACAGATTTCTAATTAACATTCTGGAAGTTTAGAACTTGTGTCAAAATAAAAGTTAAATTAATAAAATAATGCAAACAATGCCTAGGCTGGGGGAAAGTTTGCTCTTGGTAAAAACTTGATCTTTGACATATTGTGTTTCAACCAAAGGTAACAGCAGTTAATAAAATGTAACAACAGTTTGAGGGAGAAGAGGAGAGTACAAAATGCATACTGGGGGAATGTAGAGGTAATTTTTAACCAAATTTAGTCGGGAGCAGATTTAGTGCATCATCTTTCCCTGCTCACTGAAAAGCCAATAAGTTTTGGGGTTTTTTTCTGCATGTCAAGACAACCCATATGCAACTCATTTACTTTTTGCAGGTTTACAAAACAGTGTGACCTATTGCAGAGTTCTGGTAAATCCTACCTGTCATTCTCCTCTGCCACTTTGTATGTTTCCAAAATTTTGACAGTGGAGAAACTTGTCAGAATTTTAAGATTCTGGGTCATATAAAGATGAAAAACTGTTGAAAACCAACAAAACCTGATATATTTTTAGTGGCTTTTAGATTTCCTCCTCAGTAATCAATTGCTGATAGCAAATCAGCAAAACTCTTAAAAAAAACTTGTGTTCATGGAGTATTATAGGCTGCACTGAAGGGTGAAAGGAGAATTAATATATTGGGGTTTTAAAAGAATAGTTGAAAATAAGTATAAAGAACAAATAAGAATGGGAGGAGGAAGCGGATATGCATAGATGGAACACATGAATGAGAGTGCATAGCTGAGACAAAAGGAAAAAAGAAGAAAACAGCAAAATCACAAAGCTGATATGAGTACAAGAAAGCTGTATTTTGCCTTTTACACATCTAAAGTGCAGTTTGATGAAAGACAAAATGCAACAAAGCCATATTGCATCAATTTTAAGTATCATCAGAATAGAAGTCACAATTCCCTACCAAATCAATTCATCCATTTACATTAAGAAACACAGATACTACTTTCCTGTTGTGTTTAGATTTTATTTCAACATTATTAAAAAACATTTGATTGTGATTGTCTTTTTTATTTAAAAATGTTTTCCTTGGGAAAGCTTCTCACATCAAGTGTCCACCTTCCAAGTCACTTCAATATTTATTTTGATGTGAATTGGGTTGACATTTACATCAATTTTACAAGCTAAGTGCAACAGTAAATTTGCCTTGCATTTAAGGTAAATATTGATGGAAACTGATTGGCAAATGAGTGACCAGAAACATAACCATAAGGACTGCTGGTTCTAGTTGCTTATTTGGTCAATAAACATAAACAATATGTAAACAAAAATAATATGTAACAGTGTTTGCAATATGTAGTCAGATCCATGGGAGTTGAATTTGGAGTGCTGTGCTCATGAGATGAGCACCTTTTAAGACCTGTCAGAAAGTTATGATTATGAATAAGGCAGACTAAAAATTGTTAAGTGCACAATTTCCGACAAATTGCCTGCTAGACTTTGGTGGAGACTATTTGAAATATCTATGACCATTTGCTTTTCATCTCATATGCCTGGTGTAATTGCTTTTAGATTGTTCACACAATGTTTCTATGTGATAAATTTAAGGCCTCAATTTTTTGTTTTGTTTTTATCTTAACAGAGAATGATTTTGGTTAAAACCCTGTGAATTTTACAAGAAGAGCAGAGCTTAAGGCACAGATTTCTGATTTGCATCCACATACTAGTAAGCCAGAAACATGACAAAATTGAGTTCCTTTAATTTTTCAGAGAGACAGAGAGTCTGACTTCCACTGTAGAGAAATGCATTTTAACTGGTCTGCTCTTATGGTTACTTATTATCTATCTGACTGAAGAGAAATATAAATATTTTCACAAGGTGAAATGCTCCGGAATATTACTTATTTTGAAAGCATTTAAACATTTGGAAAACAATAAAGTTGTAATGCTCCTAAATTAGTGCCAAAACCAGATATGGAAAGTTCTAAAACCCTGTATTCACTAGTACCTCATTTTGTCCCAGAAGAAACATATGTAGGTAGGAACAATGTGTATTTGAAATTATTAAAGTCAAACTGTAACATTAGGACACTAAGATAACATTGTTTTCCATGGCATTAAAACCACATAAAAACAGAGCTCTCCATGAAACACAAGAAGATACATTTCTTACACATGATTATTTGCTTATGTAAATCTTCTTACAAAGCTTTTGAACTTGTCTATTCACATTTACACCATAGTACTCAAAATGTCATTCTTTTATAAAAACTTCTGTGAAATTCAACAGAAACACAATTGACAAATGTTTAAGTAATATTTTAGAATAAGGCACTTATGCTTACCTTGTTTTGTAACAAAGTAATAACATGCGTATGTAAAATCAGAGGGGATTGTTTCCAGTAAATTTTCAGTTTTCTGCCAACAGAGCGTGTCACCAAATGACGGACTGAACCTTTTTCCTTTTTGGAAGCACAAATACAAATGTGAATCACAGTTACAGGAAAAGTTATCTGTTGGATTACGTGCATAGGATATCATCCTGACCTTTTGGGGTTTTTTTAACAAAAAAGCCCCAGGAACTGAAGTGTCTAATATGAATGACAGCCAAATGCAAAAACAATAAGTATTTGTTTGCCCAAGAGAAATGAATACTTTGATTTTCTGAGATGCATTTGCAATCCTGAAGAACATAGTCCTTAAACAATTGGTTTAGGTTGAGATATTCAATAATCCTAAAAGTCATTCTACTTTTAAAAATCAGTTCTTTAAACAAGAGACTGAGGTGAAAGCACCATGATCATTACTGGTTTTGCAGATCTGTTTCTTTACAAAAAACATAAATTAACATTAAAATAGGACTCTACACTAAAGCAGAGATTCATCTAGCAAAGTACCTTCTTTCCAACAGCTGTTGACAAGACATTACAAGAATATACTTTAAAAAGTTAAGTAAACATACATCAAAACTTGATAGACTACTTCCCGTTCTTCAAGTGATTTGAAGTTCAGTGTTACCATTGATATGCTTCTTTTTACCAGCTTCTTTTAAAGAACCTGTTGCTTTCTGAACTATGTAAGTTCCTAACATCCATGATGTCCTGTGACAAGGAACTCTGTAGTAGCTACACGGGGCATATTAGTTACAAGAAGCGTATCTTGTACCAAGAAATATCTCTTTCAGAGGTTCCACTTATCCCATATGATTCCCCATAGTTCTTACGCTGAAAGTTAGTCCCTATTCACCTTTTCCATCCTTTTCACACTCCATCAAGTTCTCTCATGCCCATCTCTTTTGAGATAATAATAAATGTATTAACAGAACATATTTCTCTGTTCCTTTCATGGAAACTCTTTCGCGTTTCAGCATCTTTATTTTCCTTTTGCCAATTTTGGTGCCCATTTTTTTAAAGAAGACAGAAGGAGAATTCCAGTATCCTCCAGAATATGGGTACCTTAGATTAAAAAAAGTGCTTTCTTTTCATCGTATTTTCTCTCTAAATCATATCTGAATTCTTTTTGCTTTGTTGGTCACCATTGAATATTGCATTGATGTTTCCTTAGTAGTATTTCTGAACATTAACTCTTTAGAGCCTGTAATTGTGTACATAAACTTCACTTTGGATTTCCCAACAACCTGTAAGTACCATATGCTATCACAATCACATCAGCAAGCTTTTAAGAAGAGCTGCATTTCTGATTGTTCATGTTCTGCTCTCAACAGCAAGTTCCTGTTCTGTGTCAATTGCAAACTAGGAGCCATGCAAAAATTATAACCTTTGCCATATACCAGCCCTTTGAAAAAAATAGGCCATCAGTTCCCTATTTTCTTCTCAAGTACTGTAATTTGATTTTAGGTAAGCAATGAGAAAAAAAAAAAAAGACAGGAAAAATACCTATCAAAATCTATAATGTGCTGAAGGCAAGACAACCTTCTCAGTGCAAGCTTGCCATTCTTTTTACACATAAGGCTACTCAGTCAGGGAAGTTCTTTTCTGCTGACTATAATTTTCCTTCAAGTTCTCTTGCTACCAATCTTAGGTTTCTCTCTTGTTTTTTTGGTTCCACTCCCTTAGTTTTTTTGCTGTAGGAGCATATTTATTAAGCCATGCAGTTGTACATGTTGAATTGACATTTTATACTTAAGTCTTACTTCTGCAAAATTCCATGGAACAAGCTGCATGGAAAAGTGAGGACAAAAAGAAAGAAGAAGACTACAGGTAGAAACATTGTTCATGTTTGTACAACTAACTCTAACAGGAAAGATATAACTTAGACAATGATTTTTCAACTGAAACTTCAAGCTGAGCACAGTGAAGATATAATATCTGTCCAAGCAATTTTCTCCATTCTGAGTTAGACAGAGCACAGACTTTATAGAGATTAAAAACTTAACTGAAGTCAGTTCCTGGGAAAAAACAATGCCAGAGTTGGGGGAGGGTGTCTAGAACAAAAATACCGCAACCAAGCCTCTAGGAACTCAGAGGTCTTGCTGGTTTTTTTGTATAATAGAGGCTGTCTAAAAGACAATATGGACAATATTCTCCATAAAGCCTGATGTTTCCCACCCTATATTTACACTTTTTACAAGCATAAGGAATTATCAACGCTGCTGAGTAACACAGTGATTCAAACTTTTCATGGGTTCAGAATAAAATCCATATGAGGTCAAAACAATGCAGCAGCTTTCATCAGCCCCTGCTGCAAGGGTGGATTTATGCAAGCTTTGGTTTAAACTTCCACCTGTACGTGGACCAGATTCATACTGGACAGGCTGGTCAGAACAAAAAGCTGCATGAGACTGTGAAAATTTGTGTCTTCTCCTTGAAGCACTCAGCAATTGGATATAAACTCTTAGACATTTACATTCTCTAACCAAAAAGACAAAGAGCAGGATACAGTAATTTCCCAAATTTATAGATGCCTTAAGTCAAATTTCTTACTATGTAAAAAGGACTATTATATGGTTATAGATTGTTATTGTATTTTATTTGTTATGTAATTAACACTTTTTACATTACTGTTTTAAATCATACACCCTTCAGGAGATAAAAATAAAATGATACCTGAGAGAAAAAGACCTGCAGAGGGAGGGACAGGAGGTGTTCCAGGTGCTGGAGCAGCGATTCCTCTGTAGCCCTGGTGCAGTTCATGGTGCCCCTGCAGCCCATGGAGATCCACAGGAGAGCAGAGATCCACTTGTAGCTCCACCTGTAGCTCCGGAAGCTTCAGCCTGGAGCAGGGTGATGCCTGAAGGATGCTGTGATCCTGTGGGAAGCCTGCACTGGAACAGATTTGTGTCAGTCGAGGAGTGATAGAGTGGCTGAATGGACACTGGACATCCAGCCAAGGTCAAGCCACCAGAATTAGATATTAACTTAATCTTTGTGGTGTGTCATTTAAACAGAAAGACTTTAAAAGAGGCTTCCGTTCCTTTTGCTTTTTTTAATAACCACTTACCTTTGCTCAGCTTCATAAGTCTCTCACATGAAACCAGGGAAAGAAGACAGAGATCTTTGAGAGATTTTTTGGATCAGAGAAATGTGACAATAAATTATAAATTTTCTGAAAGCCAGAGTATGCAGAAATCACATTAATTTTTTAAATTTATTCCACCATGCAAGGTATTGACTTCATGTACAGATAATTAATTAAAATCAGACACAAATGGACACAAATATCTTTGCATGCTGTTATTTAGGACCTCTTCTCATAGAATATTTTTGAATTTGACCCATCTAGGTTGTGTAACAAATACTCATGAAACTGTTGCTATATACATATCTAAAGGATAATTCAGTAGTAATGACTCTGCTTTTTTTAAAGTACAAAGCTTTATTTGGTCTTCAGAGTTTAAACTTTGATTTATATTCATCTCTCATCCCCCCAAAAAGGAATCCTATTTTTTCTGATGTATTTATGATCCAGTGTCTAAGCTTCTTGCAATATATATATATATATCTTGCAAGAAACAAATATATTCAAAGAATTTTAATATCTGTCTTGGAATGCCTGGAGCTCTACAATTAAGTTTCAAAATATGCATATCAACTTAATAACAGAGATTGCTGACTGGTATAACAAAAGACATGAGATGTGAATGGCTCTTGTATGTCTCATGTGTGCTAAACCTGAAACTAAATAACCACATTTTAAAGGGAAATATTAGTAAACACTTTATTACTAATTGGAAAAATGAATGTTAGTGTGGCTAATAACTCCTCAGAACTATTGGTTTGTGCCATATTCCAATCCAAATCTGGAGTGGAACACATACTTCCTTGCTGACTGGAATTGCTTGCCAGTTGAATGGAATTTCTTCCTCTCTTTTACTGAATTTAATTTTTATGCTGGCATCCATGCTGTCCTTTTCACTAGCCATATTTTCAAATGTTTCCTCAATGAGGACAGCAGACAATTACAACCTTTTTCTTTCTTTTTTTGTGAATAAAATTCCGACTTTTTCATATGTAGCTGACGACACCCAAAATTTGACAGGAGGTCTGTAGTTTTCTTTGGACTAGTCTTGAGCTAGAACTCAAGTTAGACAAGTATTTAAGATCTGAATAGAACTGTTAGGTGAATGCAGATTTCTTGGACATGAACATGGCTATGGAATAAGAGAGCACAGAAAAAGATGGTTCCTAGACTTTACACAGGAACTAGAAGAAACAAAACTTTTAGCACAATGGACTGGGTAAATCTAAAGCAGCAGACTGCTACATCTGATCTCTGGCTGACACAAACATATTTCATCTTTCTTTTTAATCTCCTCTGAAATACAAATGGGTTAAACTCAGAAGGCAAAGCTGTGATCTCCCATGTTATATACATCAAGGTACTGACTGGTTACAACCTTATGCAACCTGTCCTTGACAGCCTCAAGACCCATCTTGCAGAATTTCAAATTGGTCCTGCAAAGAACAGCACCATAAATCAATGTGGAAACTCAAGCTTATGTGGTGTTGACCGCTTTCATGACACTTTCATTATTTTGAAGTTTAATAACATGTGCCTTACAGTCTCTATACCCCCTTATTATCTTTAGAATGCTATGGTTACATCAGAATCTAAGCTTTCTTTTAAAAATAAAGTACTTTAGCTTCTGTTTTGAAGTTGGAGTTTGGAAATACAACTTTCGTGTCCACTGACAGTTCAAAACACAGGAGGTCAATTAAAAGGACCAGGCTTGGGTTAGCTTGTGTTATGGGAGACGCATAGACTCAAGACTTTTTGTGGTCCAACATATGTTTTCAGTATATCAGACTGGGATATTAAAGAGTTTACTGTCCCTCCCTTTTTGAAAACACTCATAAACTTCCGCTGTAAAACAGATCTCATACAAAACTTTATAGAATGCATTCTATTTACAACTAAATCTAAAAACCAGCTCTGTAGGCCTCTTTTTCTTTCTGAAGTTTATCTGATTGATAATGATCTAGGTCACAATGCAGTAGGGTCTTCCTACAGCTCTGCCAATATTGTCTCACAAACAGTACTATCATTAAATACTACTTAAAGGATAGCAGAGGCCCAACAGGATACAGATCCTTTTATGTTTTAATGAACTTCAACCAGCACTCCAGCAGATTAAAAGAATGGTGGATTTGTGTTTATAAAGTGAGTTGAAAACAAAGTACAGGGGAACTGCCTGATGCCACCATAGGGAAGCATACTGAAGACAAGCAATCTTCTCAATCCAAGTCAATGCAAACTGGTGCCTGTTTTGTAACCATTACTGTCTTTTCTAATATTCCCAGCAGAAAGGTCAGGCACAGGGAGATTAAACACACCTTTTTGGGATCTCTCCATTCTGGTCCTTAAGCCACTGACATAGCCACTGGTCAATAGCACTGATGGATTCTTACAAGGAAACCTCCCCACCAACACTAGAATCCAATTACATACTTGAAATGTAAGTATAAATTTGACTAAAGGGGTTAATATAATTTGCTAGTTTTTGTACTGGCATAAGTCCCTACATTTCTAGAGCATTTGAATCCAGCCTTTCGACTGAACTGCAGACTGCATTAGATAATCTGCTGGTAACAACGATTTATTAGGCTAGGATGTTAAATGTAATACTGTTTGGTAATTCAAGTATACGTCAGCATACTTGTGCACATACAGAGGGCACAAAGAAGGTCAGAAAGCATTCAAATGTAAACTAGCTTGAAAATACCTATAAATAACAAATAGTTTTATCATAGTTTTATTTCACTATCAGCATTTGCCTTTTGTTACTGCTTCAAATTGCAGCTTCTAGACATAAGCAAATGAATTATACAAATATCAAGTAGAAATGTTGTTAAACAAATACAAAGAAATATTCTTTAAATACAAGCCTATGCTTATATACTTGCAGCTCTTACTTGCCCAAAACCTTTGTTATATGAATTTCCACAGGAAAACACATGGGAAAAGAGCAAAACAAAGGGTTTTTTTAATGGGCTTACCCTTTGCAAGAAAGCCCACTATAATTTATTATTGAAGTTTTGAACGTCACACTACTGTCAAATGTGTTATGTCAAACACATTTGAAAACCAACAGTCAACATATATAAATAAAGTCATGCCTGAAGAAGTGGATCTAATCTTATCTGTGCAACTGACAGCATGATTGCAGGTCTAATTCAAAGGATGTGCACAACTCAATTTGCTGATCCTACTTTGAGAAGAAACATAGGAAAATATAAAAGACTAAAATGAATTATTAATGTCTTTATCAAATAGCTGTAGGTCTCCTTTGGCTGTAACTGGACTAGAATCTTCTAAAGTCGTGGCCACTGCTTTCAGTAAGTTGTGCTTTTATTTTTGGAAACCATAATTTTTTTCCTTGTAGCTGGTAAATATAAGACAATAGAATGTAGAAAATCCAGGATGAATAACTATTTTTGTCAATTATTTTGACTGGTCCTGACCAGCTATTTCTGAACCCATTTCTGTCAGTGCTGTAAAATACTTATGAAGAGCTGAGGCAGCTCTGCATCTTGTGATAAGGAGGCCACCTCTTCATATTACTCACCAAAGCCATCAGAAATGTAAGCAATATCTTTGGAGAGAGCTCATCACAAAGCTTTAGACTTAGCATTAGGGTCTAGTCCAGTGCGCTCCGATCTGTGTGTGTGGCAGGGAAATGTACAATCCAGGATGTGTGCCAGACAATACACTGGATTGAAGATATATGGGTTCTAGCATTAAAAATTAAAATAAAATAAAATAAAATAAAATAAAATAAAATAAAATAAAATAAAATAAAATAAAACAAAACCAAATTTTCAAATACTGCTTGTTTTTTTCATCTTTATCTCACATTATCTCAGTTTCTATTTTGGTAAATGTTTTAAAAATGTACATGATACAATAGTACATGTATACAATTTAGAAATAAATGTATATGCCTCTATTATGGATGCATGCTCAAAACAGCATGCATCCATAGGTCTTACTGATAGAGGTGCATGATCAAAAACTTTTGGAGGTCACTGGTCTAGCCCTAGCACAGTAATAGTATCAGTGAGTAAATGCAGAGGATATGCCATTGTTAGACATAAATTCTTTTATCATAATAAACTGATTTCCCAAGGACATATGACAAAACAAAAGAATTGGAAAATAGAAGTGATGTAGGGTGTTCCCCCTCCCCTTTTCCACTTCCTTTTATTTTTACATTTTATTTCTTCCTCTCTATTTTTCATTGTATTTGGCACTTCTCCATCTACTAATTGCTCCACTCCCATTTGGATTAGTTACATTTCTCTTTGAAAAAAGTGTTTTATTTTGAAAAGACAAAAGCTTTAAGTTCCTTTTGTATTTTTCTTTTCATTTTCTCTTTTCCTTATTTTGCCCAATTCTTCCAAAATCTCTCACTTGTCCCAGCATCTCTCTTTTTCTGTCCCATTCTGCTGGTTCACTTTCCACTACCTAACCACAAAGTCCTTTCATCTGATCAGCAGATCCTTCTTTAGGCCCTCACCAGGCCAAACATTTACCTTATTTTTTTTTTTTTTTTCCCCCATGGAACGTCCTCTTTTCCATATCCCCCCTTTCCTGTTATTTTCTTTTCCCATAAGAAGATGGAACAGAAGTACCTAGGAGTAGATACATGGTCTTGTTTCCTCTGGCCTTCCAGCTACTTGGCAACCAACCTCTCCTTATGAAAGCAGGAATAGCCAAACATTTGCTGCAGCAAGTCTCTTCTTGTCTGCACTTGTCTGTGCCACTGAAATGCAGAATGTGGCACTCAGTCAATGGAGCCTCATCCACTCCTGGCTGCTGCTTGGAAGATTTCTTAGATGGGCTTGGGAAGCACTGAGACTAAGACAGGGGCAACGAGACAAGAGTGCATGGGACAACAAAAAGCCTGCAGGAAGAAATGGGTGTGTGAAGCTAAGGAGCAATCTAAACTCAGGGGAAGACAGGCCACATCAGCAGGTGGCAATTCCTGCGATTCTAATATTGTCACAGCAGAAAACGTCACAATAAACAATCTGGCAACTTGTGATTTAATGATCAAGAGCCTTTTAAGTCTGATATTATTAGTTTAGTTGCTTCTCTGGTGCTGTGCTTTTCAAAAAATCATTAACCTAGGTGTTTCAAGACACACAATGGCATAAGAAATGATCAGTTGCAGTGAAGTGTAATTCAAGAAAAGTAATGTAGATACTTATGACACTTAATGGTTTTTTTTTTCCTCCTTAGAAATTTACTAGAGCAAAAAGAAAGGATCAGTACAGGGATTATCAATGTATTATACACTAGCTCTCCTTAGAAAAATATCAAAGTATTATAGTACATATCAGAAAACTTTATTAACAAGTTAAAGATGACCACTTAAATTAGTTCTCAAAGTATTTGTTAGTACCTAATTTCACTGCTGTAACTATGCTTAAAAAAATCTAAGTTTGGATACATGGTTTCTTCTAATAACATATTTTTTAAAATATTCAATGACAGAAACAGTATCTGCATCTACATCCTATAAATACCACATCCTATTCCACACTAATGGTCTCAAAAAGTCAATAGAAGTATCTATTAGACATACTGCTCCATAAAATACAGCAATGGCTAGATTATATATTTATACACTATATTTTTCTATAGGTAGTACATATTGTATCTCTTTTTATCAGATTATTTGAAAGCATGAGCACATATTTTCAATAATATAGTTTCTTAGTGTACCCTAAGTGTGTATTACATTTCAAACAAGGACAACTAAATGACTAACGAGAGGAAGCACTTTCTTTACCATGAAAAATTGTGAAATCTAGGAGAGAATAGTTGGGCAAGATGGCAGCAGAACGTTCACCAAATCCTGCAAAAACAAAAGGGAATATACTCATTTAGAAATGAAAATTTAATGAGATGGATTTAAAAACAGAGAAAAGGAAGTACTTCTTTTAGAGTGATGAAATAGTTGAATTTGTAGCATGAAATAACAGTATGAAGAAATTAAAAAAGTCAATAAATATAATCATACACTGAATATTTTAAAGGACATAGGTTTTGATGTAATCTTTAACATTTCTAGTTCACTAATGTAGGATGTCAGCGGAGCACAAGAAGATCTCACAACAGAGAATACACGGTCTAAAAGCTCTATCTAAATCACACCTCTGATTAGGAATGTTGCAGACAGAGCAGTGGGACAGATGTACAACTTACTTGGCATATTTCAAAACTTTTTAGAGAATTTGCTACAAGAAAAGTATTTTTTGTGCATTAGTTGCTAATCTGTTTGCAGGTTCTAAGCCATGTGAAAATGTGATACAGTTAAGAAAAGCATATGTAATCATGCGTTTATAATGGGTCACATGGTTATTGCAGAAAAATTGGCATATAAGAAATTCATACATTTACCTAAATAAAACTCTTATTGCAGACTTACCTGTGCTCAACATGCACTCCACACAGTGCAGAAAGCTGCAACAATGTAAAACTTACATGTGGAAACAGATGTCTCCATGTTTCCTAAGGTCAATGCAGTGGATCAGCTCCGACTAACATAACCAAATTGGTGTTTTAATTAGACCTTTGTAACAGAAAAAAACTCCTATCAACCATGAAAGGGAAGCATGGAAAAGCACTGCAGCCAGCTGAATGATTCACTAATAAAATGAATCAAATTTTTGGCTGTCATTGATGATCACATGATTGACTACAATGAAACTATACAATTATTCAATAGCTGTATCTGTATCAGAGTCATGATACATGGAAATGTGAAAATTTCAAAACATTATTTCTTAAACAAACACTTACTGATTCCTCGTTACTTATCCAATTGTCTACTGAAGTCATACAGTGCTAGTTACAATTCAGAACAAGTGATAGAATAAATAAATAAAAAGACAACAAAATTACCATTAAACACACACACTCTTATGGCCACATCCTCACATGTCAGAGACAATTTGATTCAGAAAAGCTGCTGAGCACTGACAAAACAATAATCAGAAGTAATAATGCTTTGTTCACATGTGAACGCTATTGTTCATATATGATCGTTTTTTAAAATAGCTACTCCCCATAGAATTCATCAAATTCATCTGCAAAAGATCTTTAATGTCAACAAGTCCAGTCACTAACATGGCACTCCTAGGTCTCCCAACAACCCATGTCCCCAAGTGCTGTGTGTCTACTTGTCTTTTAAATACCCCCAGGAAGGTGACTCAACCACTTCCCTGAGCAGCCTCTTCCAACCCCTGACTGTCTTTGGTGACAATGTTTTTGCTGATATCAAATCCATACCCACCCTTGTGCAACATAAAACCATTTTCTCTTTTCCCATCACTTGCTGCCTGGAAGTGATATCGTATCATCCTAACTTCTAGATTATTCAAATTGTCATCGGAAACCCAAAATGTTGTTGTATTCCAGATCTATTTGTGCCCACAATTCTTCCTGCCTCTTTCTGACCCTGCAGCCAGGCAGCTACTGTGTGGAGTGCTTTCAGGTGCTTTTAAAGTCGGCTCTCACAAACAGCTCATCCCCTCTTGCCATGTGGGTTTTGGCTCACTGCCTTCCTGGTCTTTGCCCAGGCAGAGCCGTTTCCTTTTGGGATTCTTGTTTGGCTTTTTTCTCTCATCTTGAAGAGTCTACAGTTGGCAGTTTTGAGCTCCATGGAAGAGAACTGCACCTGTCACCTGTACTGCTGCATTGAGTGGGGTGGCCCCACTCAGCAGTCTGGTCCAGATCCATTGGTCCCTGCTCCCGGAGAGAAGACTACAGAGTCACTCCAGCCCAGAGACCTTGCCTTTACTGCTCCTACCAAGAGAAAGGGGGAGTCCTTCCCCAAGTTTCCAGCCCTTGATCCGCAGAGCACCAGCCAGAGCTCCAGCTGGAGATAAGCAGAGCGTAGGGGATTGGTGGGGGAACACCGGCTCCACCTTTCCCTTTGTCCCTCAAACTGTGCACTCAGCTGAGGAGCGTCAGGATGGGGGGCTGTCCCCAGCATTTTGGGGGAGACTATTCTGTGGAGTCTGTGAGGTTTAGCAGTTTTATATCTGGTGGCATTGGCTGATATCTCTTGACTGTTGCTGTCTCCGTTGTTGCTAAACTTACCTTTTCACTTCTACTTGTATTCATCACTTATTGGTGGAAAGGGATCGGTTAAACCTATAAATGGAGGTAGCTCATTCCAAAGTGTGCTCCTTCAAGTTGTCTTAAACCAAGACACAAATTCTTTTTGGTTTGGAACCCTAAGTAACATAATGACAGGGTATCTATTATGCACCTGCTATGATGGGCAAACTGAGCTGGGCTCTATAAATACAGCAGAACAGGAACTTGTACATCTTTTCAAGTCTGCATGTTTTGTCTACCCTCCTGTTTTGGCTCCAAGCATGTGGTTTGTGTTCCACCACTTCACAGAGCACAAAATCTCTGACAGGAAGAAACTTACATTAAATCTTGGTGCCAACTAGAAATGATACTACAACACAAAAAGAATTCTGATACAATACAAAGAGAATTATGATAAGTAAGGTATACATTACTTTGCTTTTTTCTGTGTAGCGCACTATGATACATGTGGCCAAATACAAAATAAAGAAGTAAACTATATGTTTAACTAGTACCATCTTGAGAAGCAGAGAGGTCTGAAAACTGAAATGCCTCATCAGCACTTTGAATTTACCACCTAAATCTTTTGTTAACATTCTTCTAATGAATTAAAACATTGCCATGAATGTAACAAAACAGCACCATCCTGAGAGGCTGTTTTAAACCAGAGAACAGATATTTCTGTTTCTGTTTTGAAGAGTGTACAGCATCTACCATGGACCTAGAAAACTTTTTTTAGGAAATATTTGGAGCAAATTCAGAATGCATCATATGTCTCCAAATCATCAATGCTCTCGCAAAGCTGCTGGGGATTTTTATACACACACTCCTTGCTCTCCTTAAAATGACTTACATAAATGTACAACATTTACATTTAAAGTGTACTTAGACCTTCAAAAGCAGATGACTTGGCCAATCAAGCACCTTTACAATACTTCAGGTACTGGATAAAGAGTTGCAGTGCCATTATGTGCCCTTGAGCTACTAGATGAGATACTGATTAAATTACATGAAATGCTGTTCCAGTTTACAACTTATTTGGATCTTTGGCACAGTTCAGTTTTAGAATTTTAGTCAATCCACCATTTACCTTACTCCAGGAAAAAAACTTCTGGCAAAAACTTCTATGGCTTTGGAAAATTAAAAATGTCCCAGTATGACAGCCTGATCACATTCACATTACATTCACTCAAAGCTCTAGGAGACAAGGCACAATTACCTACTTGAGGTGCACACAGCTTCTAGTTTAATATGAACCTATACTGTCTCATCAACATCTGTCTCATGTCTTCTCTGCAGTGCTCATTGAAATTTAAAAAGCTATTTGCCCACTTTAAGCAAAAAAAATTGAATATTAAACATTAAAATGACAACCATTTGTATGATGCCTCCTTTACCAACCACAAAACCTCTTCTAAGCGACAAGACCATTTCATGGTTGCCTCATTATTTCGAAAAACGTTATTAGACTAAGACCCCCTACTAATGCCCCTGGGAAAAAGTTAATGCTGAAGTAATTTTTTATGTTTGGCCCTTCCTCACTGCAAGAGTAATCGTTGTTAAGATCATATCTTTTACATTGTCATCTTTCTTGAACATTTTCTTTGGCATTTTACCAGAAGTTTGAAAATATTTTATTCCCTTTCACAGAAAGAAGACATCTTAACTGAGAAATAAATAAAAAAGAGAAGCAGATACAGTATAGAAATTATTAAAATATAATATCATTCTATTATATAATGAATTTATTAGGGAATCATTGTTTCTTTTTCTGACTGTTTTACAATTAATAATCTCACAACTCAAATTGGTTATAAAGTTCAATATGTCAAGAGCTTAGAGCATATATGTCATCATGTCATGATGACATTTCAGTCTGATGGTACTCAAGCTGAATGGGTTTTCACACTAACTTTTAACAGTTATCTGAACTGTTTAAGTGATGGTAAGTCTGACACAGTTACTAGCTCAAGGCAAAACTTCCCCATAAACATTTTTAAATTTCTGTTTCACAAACACTAATCAGGGAAAGTAAAACAAACTTTATTACCAAATTTTGTTGAAACAACCCAAAACTGTATCTCGTAATTTAACAGTAGCTGTGAATGCAACATTTCCATCTTTGACAATGTTTAAGATATCTTTCAAACACTTTTTTTCTTTTCAGTATAGCATGCTTATACTTTGCTTCTGGCTTTTCAAGTAGTAGTACACTGTAGCAATCTGTGATCTTTGATGACAAAAATGACAAGTCTGTGGTATGAAAGTTGGCATTAGTCTGACTCAGCAGCAGTGCCTCAAACAATGATGGTCGCAGGACTCAGAGAAACAGGGCTCTTTTATTGCTTTCTGTTGCTTTAAAATAAAGCATCAAAAGTAGGGAACACCAAATGAAGATAGTTCTTTTAAATAAACAGTCTCAGCTTCTGAGCTGGTTACACATAATGACAGATGCTGAAAGAAACCCCTTGAGATCATTTACTTGTGTGCTCAGAGCACGGTCAGCTACTGCATGTTGTCTAAAGCTGTGTTCAGCTGAATTCTGAGTATGTGTAAAGATGAGAACTACACACTCAGTCCCAGTGTTCAATCTGACTCACAAAAAAAAAAAAAAAAAAAAAAAAAAAAAAAGAGTTGCTTTCTAATTTCAGGTTACATTTTCTGGTCTTTAGTGTGTCATCATAAGACTCTTGCCCTCTCAGAGGGCAGTACAGGGAAATGTCCAGCTCTCTCCACTCCCTCCCTCAGATAGTCACACATAATAGTTAATATCCTGCCAAAACTTTTTCTTCCCCAGGATGAACAGCCCCAGCTCTCTCAGCACCTCTTCCTATGCTGGATGCTCCAGTCCTTCAGTCAGAGCTGTGCCTCTGGACTGGACTTTCTCCAGTACGTCCATATCTTCCCCATGCAAAAGCCTAGAGCTAGACCCAGCATTTCAAACACATCTGCACTACAGTGCAGATCTGCTGGCAAATCTCTGCCTATCGGGCCTGGAATGGTTTTGCTTGCCTTTGTGCATTGCTGATTCACGTGCAGCCTGTAGCAGCAGGGTCCCTAACTCATTTTCTGCAAAGTTTTCAACCAATCAGTCCCTTACTTACACATAATTTTCCTTATTTTTGACTTTAAGATATTAACAATGCCAACAGAAAAGTGAGAAAAATTAGTACCTGTAGGACCTGGCATATTCCATATGAGCGGTACCTTTTTGTCCAATGTCATGTAATTAAAGGAGCCCAAAAATAAATATGCAATATTTTTCTCCAATTAAAAAAAAATCTTGAAAAGGAAAGTAAGTTTAAAATCAATCAATAAGAGTAGTTAACTGAACATACACTAGAATTCTTTGCTGCCAGAAGTGGACAGTAAAAAGAGGGGAGTTTTACGGAGTTGTGAATGTAAAAGCAAAACGTGTCCCAAATAGACCCCACCTTTAGTGGCTGATTTGCCACTGTTTCCATAACTGAAGAAGACAGTTTACTGTCAAACACATCTCTGAAAGAAAAAAAAACACACACCAGAAATGACACCATGAGGCTTACAAACAGTTCTTTTCTTTTTCCCTAAAATACAAGCATTGTGTTTTCATTGAATACTGAATCAACTTTATTTATCAGAAGACAATTGCATCTGTAACATTAAACAACAGCCCATTGTCAATTTCACCAAAAGGATGGTATAAGACAGTCAAGATGTCAAATGTTTTCCTCATCGTTGCAACAGCTCAGAGTTGCTGTTCTGTCACTAACAAGTTTGCTACCATAATACCATCAGCACTACAGGCTAAGCTGTGCCTAAAACCCATTTAAATTCCTTCATGCATACAACTCATCTGAAAAAATACACAAATATAGAACATAAATCAGCACAAAATGGCAATAATTAACCATACACAAATGGTGCAAAAGAGACCAGAATGTCTACTCACAAGTGCAGTCCAGCACAGCTGCACATACTAAAGACAAAACACTACTAGTCAGATCTTTTGTTCTGCTTCAACAAAACACAAACAAAAGCAGCAAAACTACTACGACACCTTTTCTGTCTTTTTCAATTACAGGGTGCCAAAATATCCCCTGGCACAATCAGATAGTTCTTGTGATGACAGTTATAATTTGCCTGCAGCCAATGTATATCACTTAACATTGCACTTCTACACTCTTTATTTCTGAATTCCTGAAGGTGAATCTCAAAACAGGCTTCATTCATCACATTTAAGAAAGCACTTAAAACATTTAATGGTAATGATTTCCATTGGACATAGTGGCTAGAAGGTAGTATGAAAAGGAAATCAAACTATGTATTAAATATGATGTAATAAAGCCGAGTTACACACCTGTATCCAAAAGCCTTGAACTAGGATGAAAATCCTTAAGTCTAATGTTGTTGGTTTTGAATATACTCTGAATTTCAGAACTCACTGAAACATCCTTGATCAAAAAATCAGGCAGGAACATAGCTGCTTGAGAATAAACTTCTTTCTACTCAATTAACTTAAAGTGCACAAGTCAATAATTAATTTTAATTTCAAAGAAGGAAATAGTAGAATTCATTACAGAAAAAAAGTTTACAAGCAACTTTGCAGCAGAAAGCCTGTGTCCTGAATGGCAAATTGTAGTAAGGTGAGGCATGGGGGAAAGGAGGGTGATCAAAACAGCTGCTGATAAAAAAAATGTGCTGGCAATTCAGAACAATGAATTATTGCTTTTGGTGTCAGATTTCCTTGAATAAATGGAGAGTTGCTATTTTAATACTGCAAGCAACTGCTGTTATTACTTTGAATAAAAACAAAAAGGAAGAACTGCAAGTTTGTGGAATAATGTTTACTGCTAATCAACACATCTTAATCAAAGTTTTCACAATACTCAAAGCTACACATTTAAGTATACAATAGTCTCAATTGCAAAAACCAAGGAGAACAATTAAACTATGTAAGGCCTTAAAAGTACAGTGTGTATTGTTGGAATATTATTTTGTTCACAATTAGGCTACATATAATTAAGTATATTTTTCATAGTTTTATTCACGTAAAATGCAGGGAAAGGTAACTTAAGTTTATTTCATTATAAGTTAGTAGAAAAATGTCAATATTATCTTCTTGCCAATCCTCCCACCCCTCCCAGACCTGATTAGTAAAATTTCCATACAATACTCAAAAAATCCAGTAAGTTTTTACATGAAACATCCAAAATTAAACCTGATCAGACCAGTGCTAATTTGCAAACTCTTTATTACAATGTTGGATAAACTTCAAGCTTCTTCTTAATGACACATTGGGGCTCTAGAAAATCAATGTTTAAAACTACATGGTTCAAGAAGTCTTCTAGGTTTTAAGTCTGGTTTCAAAGAGGTATTTTATGGCCTCAGTAGCAATCATGTGAATGATACTTGCGTTACAACAATGATAACTTGTGGAATTATTTTGGCAAGATTAGGGCTCCTGAGAACATGAGTGGATATATTTTATTATCCTGAAAGCTAAGAGACAATATGAGTACAAAAAAAGTAAACTTAAACTAAGCACAAAATAAATGAAAACTATGGGAAAAGATATCTATTTTGCCCCCTCTTCCTGTAAAAGGGCATTAGTAATTTCCAGTGTCTGTTTATTCTCATTACATACATTAGTATTTGCTTAAATTTCATGGCTATTACATTTTTACAGAACAAAAGCTTAGAAGTCAGTTTTTTAATTACACCTGTGCAACAGAGTAAGTCACAGTACACTTTGAGATGTTCAAAAAATATTTATAAGCTTGGTTTTGATATGCTAAAGCACTTGGCAACACTTTTACAGCATTTGGTTTTATATAATTAAATTTTCTTACAGTACTCCTTGTGATTTTTTTTCTTTACATCTAAGGAGAAAAAACCTCACACAAAGAAATATGAACTGCCAAGTCTGACTGCATGATCATGTAATTCCAGTTTATAATGCTGACATTAAAACCTTCATTAATTATGTTGACAAATCATTACCTGTAGATTTAATGAAGGCAACCAAGATGATTTGAAAACACAAGATTCAGGCTTTAAGTTACATATTTATCAAAGTGTGCAGTTCTGCAGTGAAATGAAAAAAAAAACCCAGTAAATACACAATGAAAGTTACAAGTTCACCAGTTCCTGTGACACAAACTGTTTTAATCTTTCAAGGTACTGTCCATAGAGTTCCACATCATTATGGCCCGCTCCTTCTACCCACAGTGGTTCTACAGGTCTCTGGCAACGCTCAAATAATGCCAGGCCATGTGAAAAGTCAATTACTTCATCTTCAGTTCCATGGATTATTAAGACAGGAGATGTTATTTTAGAAATTTTGTCAATGCTGTAAAGAAAAAGATTACATCTATGAAAACAATGGCATAGTTCTGAATTACATGACAGGAATTTTCTTCATTTAAGATCTACTTAGTTTTTCAGCCTTAAAGAAACATATTGCAAAGGACTTTGTTCACAGTTATCCAGACTAACAATTCACTGGATAGAGCTACTTGTTAAAACTAGGGATTTACATGTTATGTATAGGAAAATTAATTACTTCTTTACAGATATCCACTAAAATGATTAGAGATGCGAAGTGCCTAGAAGGTTTACAAAGTTCTGTAAACTTCTTCAAATCAAATGTTCCTCTTTGATGTTATTCACTGATTTTTCTCCAATTCTTTTATTAAATCTTTGAAAAAACTTTCAGAGAACATGCCAGACTACTTGTTTCTCTAGTTGAAAACTTCTCTTATAAAGAAAATGCATGCTGAATAAAAAAAAAAATCCTACAACTTACTTCGGGAATGCATCAAAGCAGTACGTCTTCTTTGTATCAGGAAAAGCTACTCGCATTCCTGAGGTCAGCGGAGAATGAAGAATTACAGCAGCACTTTCATACCTAGCAGCAAGATCCACAGATGGTACTGTTCCTATACTCTGGCCATATATAATCACATTTTCAGGGCGAATACCATACCTAGAAAATTAGACATGTTTAAAAAGCGGCATATAAAGTGAAACAGACAAGACCTACAGAGCAAGGCAAAAAAAGCATTTCTGAAGATGAAAATTTTCAGAAGGGTATCAACTATGAAACAGGACTGGTAGAAGAACAAGCAAGACTGTTCTATGACATTCCTGACTAAAACACACAATTATTTATATACTCCCTATTTGCAGTATTTCTTTTTCCTTACGCCTGCAGGATATTGAAATAATTATTTGATTTTTTAAATATGGATTTATGAATAGAGTGTGGCATGTTAAAAGTCTTTACTATTAACTCCAGGGGACCTGCAACAGAAAACTGATTAGAGCCTTAATAGCTCTTTGTTTATCATCACATAAAGCATAATTCAAGCCTGCAAAAATTTGGTCAGCTTTACTATTCTGATACTTGACAAAACCTGCAGGTTGGTAACATTGTTTATAAATTTAGTGACACTTAAAGCATGCCCATACTGAGAGTGTAATAGCCAAGAAGCTTGTTCTTATCAACCTAATCCACAAGCAATTGCTACCCAAGTTACATGGGAAAAGCCTCTGAAGAGAACAGTAATGTGGCCAAGAACAATGCCTGCAAAAGAAGTGAACTGTTAATCCACTGCCCTGTACAAACCAGGTGCTCTTAGGACAGGTCAGCCTGCAGCAGTGTATCTGAACTTGGGAAAGGAAGTACCTTGAATAGGAAAGGATACTACATTGCATTAATAACAAACCCAAGAAAACCCCATACACAACAAAAACCCAAAACCAACAACAACCAAATCATGGTTCTCATGAATTATTAAAAACTTGTTCAACTTCTTAAGTAAGAAGTAATATCACTGTGAACAGCATGAGGTAGGTTTGACATTTGCCACTTTAACTCTAAAAGCAATGAAAATCAAGTGTAGGAAAGTGCACCTGTTACCTTGTCTACAATAAAGACATGCATATTTTCTGTCAACATTATATAACAAAATCCATAGCCACAAAGAAGTAATCAAATTTGTATATTTTGCATATCTCCAGTAAAGTCAGGGGAGTAGAAGTACCAAAGAAATTCACAAATATCTTATAAACATGGGTAAGTAACTGTATGGGTAACCAAATACTAAAATCAGTAAAGTCTAAGAGACTAAAAATCAGGAACATTAGGAAAAAAAGGTGTTTAATGTGTGTATTACATTCAAGATATCCAAATTACCAACCAACAAAACAGCTCTCCCCAAATCCACAAGTACTTCTTAACAAGCCAGAAAAAATGCCCTCCAAGTTGCATCCATATATAATATACAGTTAATAAAAAAATACGTATCTAGGAAGATTACATGCTACGTACCAGTAGCAGAACTCATCAGGCATGCCAATAACTTGGTAAATTTGGTAAACTGTTCACATCTAACATTGTCTATTTAATATTCATCTGTTTATTTAGATTGGGTTCTGATAGAGTGAAATGTGAAAGTTTTTAAAGTATTAGCACAGAGGCAGACTCTGCCTGACACAGGAATCTTGCTGCATTGACTTAATCACTATCAGTGTTTCCTGTAAAGAGTTTTTAGTCATAATCAGATCATGATCAAATTAAGACTTCTAAAACTCTTAAGTCTTCACCATCAGCCGAGAACTACTAGCAGGCCCTTCATATCACAACAATTCTCAAAGAAAAAGCAATTTCAATAATCAACAAGATTTTCTGAAAATTCCAACACACATAAATAAAATAAATTAAAGCTTTGAAATAAAAGACAAATCTAAGCTCTCTACTATTTCTGAAACTCTTCTGAAACACCTGAGAACATAGCACTTACCCTTTCACAATTCATCTCCCAAGTCACATCACATTTGTCCACTATGAAAGTACAGTACAGCCTTCCCTCCTTCCAACATAATCTGAACAAAATTCGCATTAATACGTTGCATCACTAGTATGGCATGAAGCAGCACATTATGATAAAACAGTTCTCAAATAATAAACCTTGCCAACTTGCATTTCCTTGGATGTCGAGTTTTACAAGATACAGGCCATTACACAGGAATTTAAAGCAAAACTTAAAACCTGTATCTGAAAACATATATTCTCCTCTTTCTCATTATTCTTTCCCCTATTTTTTGATAAAATTCCTTCAGCCTGAAAATAGATAAATGACAGCTACAAAAAAATAAGACAAGAAAAGCATTTACAATATCTGGACTAAAATAATCCTAATTCCATCACAGTCAAAAAGATTGCCTCACAGTGCCCACCAGAAAAGACATGTTTTGCAATCTATAAACTAAAGTAAAGAAGTCAATAACCCGAAGTGGTGGTTCAAAGTACACTTCTGAATATTCTGGCTTGAATAGGACGAACACCTAAGTAATCAACCCCCACCTCCCAGATAACAATATCCAAGCAGCTTGGAAAACAGATTACATCTGCTCATTCCAGTCTTCCCTTTTCTCTTGAAAAAGTTTGGTGGGCTAATCCTGGCTGAGTGCCAGGCACCCACCAAAGCAGCTCTCACTCCGCTCCACAGCTGGACAGGGGAGAGAAAATTTAATGAAGGGCTCATGGGCTGAGATAAGGATTGGGAGAGGTTGCTCATCAAATACCATCATGGGCAAGACCAGCTAGAAGTAGAAATATTAATTGAATTTATTACTAACAAAATCAGAACAGGATAATGGGAAGTAAAACAGACCTTAAAACCACCTTCCCCTCATTCCAGCTCTACCTCTCCCCCGGAGGTGCAGGGAGACAGGGAATGGGTGTTATGGTCAGTTCATCATGTGTTGTTTCTCTTGCTGCTCAGGGCAAGGAGTCCTTCGGGGACACTTTTCCATGAACTTCTCTGATGTGAGTCTGTCCCACAGGCAACAGTCCCGCTCAAACTGCTGCAGGGTGGGTCACTCTTCCATGGGGTGCAGCTCTTCAAGGACAGGCTGCTCCAGTGTGGGCTCCTCTCTCCACAGGTCTCCCATGGGGTCACAGCCTCCCTTCAGGCACCCCCCTTCTCTGGTGTGGGGCTCCTCTGATGCCTGGAGCACCTCCTGCCCCTCCTTCTCCACTGACCCTGGTGTCTGTAGTGCTGTTCCCATCACATGTTCTCCTTTCACTCTTTTCTGGCTGAAATTACAACTGCACAATTGTATTTTTTTTCCCTCTTCTTCGTTATCCCAGAGATACTACCATAATTTCTAATTGGCCTAGCCTTGGCCAGAGGCACATCCATCTTTGGAGCTGACAGAGGTTGGAGAAAGCCTCTGGCAGCTTCTCACAGAAGGCACACTTGTAGCTCCTGGCCACCAAAGCTTGGCCATGCAAGCCCAATGTAATAGGCTTCTCAAATATCTTGAAAAAAGGAAGAGCCCAACTGCCCCTCTCAAAAGTACCACTAGTACTGCTATCTCTCAAAAGTACCACTTTACAATATCTAAAACAGAAAAACTATTGAAATGGTAACTGGTTTTAAATTCCCTACTCATAAAATTTGTTTACTTCTTTTGACAGACTGATAGCCTATTAAACTCCAAGAAGTTTTGTGGCAAATTATCAGATGACCATACCTGGTCTCCCTAAGGAGGAATGTCAGATCAAGAGAAAAAGTTGCAGTAACATTATTCTCTTAATCAGTGCCTTTTAAGTACAGGCCGTTCTGAGGAAGGGGAACATGACATTTACAGAGCCATATCCTTCAAGTAGCTCCTCTGGTTACAAGAGGTCAAAGACATACTGTAAAGACTGTTGCTGTCTTTGAAAGCTCATTATATTGATAATAGAACTAATGTAAACACTGTTGTCCACTCAAGCAATCTTAGACAACCTGTGCCAGCACAGACAGACCTACAATGTGGGGCTGAAGGTAATGGAGAGTATTTTTAGGTTTGGGGATTTTTTTTTAAGCCATAATCAACAAAATGGACCTTGGAAGAAAACCTTAAAAGTAGCTATGCACAGATGTACCAATGTGCTGATTTTGCAGAGAAAGCACTATTCCTCACGGACAAGGTATTCTGGGCAGAATCTGATACAAAACTTGATAGATAATTTCTGCAGTTTAAAGGCTGACTGCAGCATCTTTCCCAGAACAACTGAGATTTCAATTCCTTTCAACACCCAATTCATCCTTTATGTTCCCACACTTACAGGTTACCTGCCTGGAAAGCAGATGGAATCTAAAGAGCAGTTTTGACATAGAACCTGTGTTATGTAAGCTTCCTGACAGAATTTCTGCCTCATCACCATACTAAAGGCACAGGTTGATGTCACTACAAAGCTAAGCTATTGCTGAACAGAAAAGAACCACTCTCCTGTTTGCAGCTTCAGCCATGCGTTCCCCCTCATTAGGCTTTAACAGTTATGAAAGGAACTAAATAAATCTTGTCTGGGAGTAGTGAAGCAATTGCTTTAGCACTCCTTTGTGCTGTGTTCAGGGACAGGCAGGAAACAGCATGCCACTGCCAGGTGAGGAAGGAGCAAGCCAGTAAGGTGTTGTAACTGTCCCAACTGTTCAAGTGCCTGGAACCCGGGCCCAACATAACATTAATGAAGCCAGTATTCTTTTCTGTGTCCCTACATATGCTGACCAGATATAGATGGTCTCCTGTAAAAGAGGCAGCCCTAAATACTCCTGGCCTGATCTTTTCAGCTTCTGGTCGGAAAAGAACTGCTAAACAGAAATGCAATATTCTTTTTTCTCCTTGGTGATGAACTTCATGTGATTTAGCAGAAACTCTTTCCCTATTTCCTTGATATTTCTGTCTTTGTAGCAAGATCTTTTCTGCACTCTACTAAACACTTTTCTTACTGGTGGTCCACCTTTTCTCCTCCCCTCAATTCTCTTTTTTTCTCTTCATGGAATCATAGAACAGTTTAGGTTGGAATGTAATATAGTCCAGGCCCCTGCCATAGGGAGGTAGTATTTCACTGAATCAAGTTGCTCGAAGTGCTTTCTGACCCTTCCTTGAACTCTTTAATTGGATGTACATCACTTACATTGGATATTAACC